ACACACACACACACACACACACACACACACACACACACAGATACATAGTGTTATGTGTTGTACATAGTAGTGTACACTATCATACAAACACACAATGACATACAAACACACACACACACACGCACACACACTCACTGACTCAGCTCATTTGTTCTGTGTGTGTCGTGGTAGAGTGGCCATCTGGAGCCTCTGCTGAGTAAATTCACTGATGAAGAGGAGAAACAGATGAAGCGAATGCTGCAGAGGATGGACGTCCTGGCCAAGGTATGATCTGAAAAACCCGTCTGGAAGTACCGTAACACTTCAGTTTACAGTTTAGACGTTTTTTGATTGTGACCAGGACATAAAGATGCTCCAGAAGATCAAACCTTAACATAAGTTCTATAACAGAGATTGTTGTTTTTTTTAACAGTGTACACTGACTTTGTGTCAGATAAATGTGTAAATGTATGTGTGTGCGATGGGTTTTGTTTGTTTCTTGTCTAAAAAAAAAAGAAAAAGTGAAAAGCTATTTCAACTGCATGTTTCATATCTAAAATGTTGAACAAAACAACAAGATTATAAATAAAAACTATAATATTATAGTTGCATAATTTATTAATTACATTTAGGGCGTCACAGTGGCACAGTGGGTAACACGTTTGCCTCACAGCTAGACAGTGGTTCAAGTCCCAGCTGGGTCAGTTAGCGTTTCTGTGTGGAGTTTGGATGTTTTTCCCATGTTGGTGTGGGTTTCTACCAGGTGCTCCGGTTTCACCCACAGTCCAAAGACATGCGCTGTAGGTAAAATGGGTAAACTAAATTGTCAGTAGTGTATGTGTGTGAATGCTAGAGTGTATGGGTGTTTTCCAGTGTTGGGTTGCGACTGGAAGGGCATCTGCTGCGTAAAACATATGCTGGATAAGTTGGTGGTTCATTCCACTGTGGCGACCCCTGATTAATAAAGGGACTAACCCGAAAAGAAAGGGAATTAATTAATTAATCACATTTTACATTGGGTTTTAAATCCTTTATATATATATATATATATATGTATATATATACATACATACATACATACAGTTGAAGTCAGAATTATTAGCCCCCTTAAATTATTAGACCACTTGTTTATTTTTTCCCCAATTTCTTTTTAACGGAGAGAAGATTTTTTCAGCACATTTCTGAGCATAATAGGTTTAATAACTCATTTCTAATAATGGATTTATTTTATCTTTACCATGATGACAGCACATAATATTTTACTAGATATTTCTCAAGACACTTCTACAGCTTAAAGTGACATTTAAAGGCTTAACTAGGTTAATTAGGTTAACTAGGCAGGTTAGGGTAATTAGGCAAGTTATTGTATAACAGTGGTTTGTTCTGTTGACTATCGAGGAAAAATATAGCTTAAAGGGGCTAATAATTTTGTCCCTAAAATGGTTTTTAAACTGCTTTTATTCTTGCTGAAATAAAACAAAAAATACTTTTTCCAGAAGAAAAAATATTATCAGACATACTGTAAAAATTCCCTTGCTCCGTCAAAGATCATTTGGAAAATATTTAAAAAAGAAGAAAAACATTTGATAATTCTGGCTAATAATTCTGACTTCAACTGTGTGTGTGTGTGTGTGTGTGTGTGTGTGTATATATATTTATATATATATATATATATATTTATTTATTTATTTATTTTTTTTTCTGTTTATATATATACGTTTAAAGTGGATCAAAAGCTTTCATCAAAGTTGTTCTAAATCTATTGAACAACTTTTAGGACAATTTTGACTTCTACTATAAAATTCATTCATTCATTCATTTTCTTCTTGGCTTAGTCCCTTTATATATTAGAGGTCGCCACAGCGGAATGAACCTCCAACTATTCCAGCATATGTTTTACACAGCAAATGCCCTTCCAGCTGCAACCCAGTACTGGAAAACACTCATACACACTCATTCACACACTCATACACTACAGCCAATTTTGTTTACCCAATTCACCTATAGTGCATGACTTTGGATTTCGGGGGAAACCGGGGTACCCGGAGGGAACCAACACCAATATGAGGAGAACATGCAAACTCCAAACAAAAATGACCCAGCCGTGACTCAAACCAGTAACCTTCCTGCTGTGAGGCAACAGTGCTAACCACTGAGCCACCATGTCGCCCTCTTTATATAAAAAATCTAAAATCTCTATATAGTTTAATATACTTTAATAATCAGAATGTATTTTAGTAATAATACCAAAATATACTGTAAATATTCTGTATATAAATATACATGTAAAAATTAAAGATGATTATGTATAATTTAGAATTAGGATATGTAATTTTTCAGATTTTAGTAGATGCTGTCAGGTAAATGACCTCAGATACATTGGACTGTTTGATTATGCTTGTGAAGACATTGCTAAAGTTGCAAAAGATCTCAAATTTACACAAATGTTGGGACAGAAATCAGGCAGCAGTGCGTGTCTGATGTTTGACGTGTGTTTGACCCTGATCAGCCATTAACCAAACACATTTCTGACTTCACTTCACAGTTTGACGCCAAAACGTCTCATTTTCCCCCTCGTTTGTGTTTGCTCATCAGTGCTTGAGCAAGGAGACATCAGTAGATAAACTACTGGTGGAAAATTAAAGTATCACTCAGTGTATTTTAACCTTGACTGCACTGGTTAGACAACACAAGAAAGAAGCGAGTGATGAAAAAAATATTAACTTCTCAGTCTGTTCTTAACATTTAACAACATTATCAACATCACAAGACTGGCTTCTTATCTTGTGTGAGATAATAAACACACAACACACATGCTGATGCACATAAAGAGAGACATGATGTACGAAATAATGCGTCAGCCTCAAGAAGAAGCTACAATAAACATGCACTGTTTCAGTCTTTATCTGTATGAAGAGTTTTGCGGTCTCGTAGATAAAGGAGTTGTACATTTTAAGCTCCAAATGAAAGTGTTTTATCTCGGCGTAATGCTGAGGGCTTTTATCTGAACTCTTTCAGGCTGTGAGTTCTGTGAAACTCTGAAACCATTCGAGAAAATTACTTCATTACATGAACAACTCTGCACAGTATTTATAATCCTGAACTGTTATATATATTTTTACAAACCCCTCATGTTGGGATGAAACAGATAAATGGATTGATATGATTAGCAGACGGATACGTGAACACACCAAAACAGAACAGAATACACAGACAGGGTTTTTTTTAAACGCAATGCAATAAACACTGCAATACAACAGAAACAAGAGGGACAAGAGGAAAAAGGGACTGATGAGTGGTCTGGTGCGCGCTTTTATGCTAGGTGGTCTTGGCCTATTGGACATGACTTCATACATATATATATATATATATAATTAGAGATGCGCGGATGGGCTATTATTTCATCCGCAACCGCATCACAAAATTCATCATCCGTCCGCCATCCAGCCGCACTAACATTTTCAACCAAATTTTAAAACCGCACCCGCCCGCCATCTGCTGACTGAGCTCTTTATTTCAATGGCTAATTCCTTTTTATTATTAAATGAATGTTTCTTTATTGATTATTAGAAAATAGAGAATGACTTTAATGACATGCAGTTAATTCAAACGTGCAAGTCAATGCAGCATTAATTGACGCTTTGAAGTGACGCTAAACAATACGAGGACGTCTCGTTTCACTTGATTCAATTCCTTGGTCCTCGAGTCTTTTCCTTGCGTCCTTCCCTCGCATCCTATAGGGGTGGAAAGACGAGGAAAGAAAGCAAGGAAAGGAAACGAGGATACACAAATAAGAATTGAGAAGCATAAAGCTCTCAGAATATCAGCAGTGAACTCCGTCTCCAATTGGCGCACAGGGACAAAAATAAATAAATAGCCTAAATTAAACGCACTGTACTATACAATTTTTTTACTATTATTGTAGCCTAATAGAAAACGCATTTTGACACATTATTTCAACATTCAGACGAGAGCGCCTGGCCTCAATGCGCCCTGCTGCGCTGAAGGAGCTCTCGCTCGCAGCACTTGTTGCTGGAATGCATAGAATTCTCTTGGCAAGGAGCTGTAGTCGTGGGAATGACTGGCCTTGTTTCTCTTAAAAGGAGAGTAGATTTTCCTCTGCTGATCCGTCTATACGGAAGTTTGTAAAGGAATACTTCTGTACTTCATCCAGAATTAATGTATCCGATTCCTCCTCTCATTCTGTGAAGTCAGTCCTAGGCTTTTTCGTTGGTGCGCCAGCTATGTGTACAAAAACAGTACAACCGCCCACCACCTGCCCGAATATAATTAAAATTTTATTTTTCGTTACGTCATCCGCCCGATCCGCGGTTTATCCGCGGATTCCGCGGCTGTAACCGCCATCCGCGCAACTCTAATATATATATATATATATATATATATATATACATACATACATAAATACATACATAACTAATATTTATATATATTACATATGTTATTATTATAATTTTTTTATTTATAGTTTTTGCAGACATAGAAAAACAAAAAAACAGACTGACAAACCCATCATGTAACAACAATCTGAGCAAAATGTAAAATAAAGCAAAATAAAGGGAAAATGGAGACATACAAGACATATATGACCTACAAAAAGACACCCCAATGGATGCAAAAAGAGAAAATAAAACTTACAAATCTTCAGAAATTCGTTCATTCATTTTCATTCATTTTCCTTCGGCTCAGTCCTTTATTTATCAAGGGTTGCCACAGCGAAATGAACCGCCAACTTTTCCAGCGTATGTTTTACGCAGTGAATGCCTTTCCAGCTGCAACCCAGTACTGGGAAACACCCATACACACTCATTTAAAAACTCTACAGCCAACTTAGTTTACCCAATTCACCTGTAGCGCATGTGTTTGAACTGTGGGGGAAACCCACGTCAACAGGAGGAGAACATGCAAGCTCCTCACAGAAATGGCAACTGACCCAGCCTGGACTTGAACCAGCAACCTTTTTGCTGTGAGGCGAGAATGCTAACCACTGACCATGTCGCTCATACTACTATATAACATAAAAAATAATCATACATTTTTTAAAAACTTTATATAATAGATAGATGAGCCATACTGCCACCCATTGTGGTTTTATTCACTATTAAATGTTTTTTCCCTATTATTCCTGTTGTTTCTTCAGCCGTTTTCAGACTGAGGACAGCATATTTTACATTCAGCTCAGTTATTTTTCATGACAGAATTGTTTTGTTGGGAATAAAAGTCTCCTGCAGGCTGATGTTATATAACCCTGTTTATTCAAGTGCACGGTTACAGCTGAAAGGCGTAACAGGTGTGTGTGTGTGTGTGTGTGTGTGTGTGTTTCAGCATGCTGTGGAGAACGGTGTAAGGCTGATGGTGGATGCAGAACAGACGTATTTCCAGCCAGCCATCAGCAGACTCACGCTGGAGATGCAGAGGATCTTCAACAGAGAGAAACCACACATCTTCAACACCTACCAGTGCTACCTGAGAGTGAGTCTCTCACACACAGACACACGCACTTGCTTATCTGTTGTATGGTTGTGCTCCATTGATTTATTCAACCACAACTGTTTGTTAGCAACTGTTTTATTAAGTTAAAGGTTTGATACTTATTAGAACTTGAAGTTGCGATGAGGTCTTGAAATATTCTGAGAAGGTCTTTAAAAAGTCTTCAAAAAGGATTGAAATTACCTTTATGAGTTAGATCTGTTTCATTTACATTGAAATAAATGATTCATAAACATGAAACAATTTATATGGGCTGAATGAAATGTAGTAATATTCAACTAGAAAAGCCCTTTAAAGGAAAAAATAGCGCTGCAAAAGTACAGACACGGTACAAAAAATTTACTCGAGGTTAAGTATACATTTTTTTAACTGCTTAATGAAGCACTATTACTGTAAAAGTACTCAATTACAACAATTTTAGTATCCGTAAGCCGTTACTTTACATCACTTGTGTGTTAAATCTCATGACGGGCTCATAACTGTGTGTTTTTTTTAGGAGGCGTATGATAACGTGTCTGTGGACGTGGAGCTGTCGCGGCGCGAGGGCTGGTATTTCGGCGCTAAGCTGGTCAGAGGAGCGTACATGTGTCAGGAGAGATCCAGAGCGTCGGAGATCGGCTACGAAGACCCCATCAATCCTGACTACGAGGCCACCAACAACATGTACCACAAGTAAGAGGAATAAATTATACCATAATAAAATAAGCCAGAGAGCGGCATGGTGGTTATATTATATTGTTATACTCCAAAGAAAAGGATTAAAAATTTATTATACATTTTATTTTAGCACAAATAGTATCACCTAAGAACAAACTCGTCTCATTTGACAAATATTTAATAACACAATGTACCATTTAATTCAGTTTCTCTCTCTTGTCTGAAATGAATACCGTGCTTTCAGTACAAAACACGCCTGTTTACCTGAGCATGTTTTTGCTCATTATTGTCAATCACTTATTTGCGTCATGCGGTATAAATATATGCCAACACATTGCGCAGGGAATGTTTTGACTTGTTGCTGCAAACAAACACGCATATTTTGAGATTAACGTCTTTTATTCTACTGTCTCAGTCACTGATCGAGCCCTAAAAGCTTTTAATAAGCATTATCTGTATTTGTAAGGTGTCTGGAGTACATTCTGGAGGAGATCAACCACAACCGGATGGCAAACGTCATGGTGGCGTCTCACAATGAGGACACGGTCAAATTCACACTGGAGAAGTAAGTCTGGAACAGTGTTGTGTGTATTTGTTTATTGAATTTACAGTGTTGAAATGATTTTTTTATTTACTTTTTTTTATTATTTTACGTAAAGGCTACACCCCTTAAAGATCTTGCCTTTAACTTAATACTTTCTAAAGGATACTATACAATAATATATTGATCAAAATACATTAGTTCTAGTTTTGGCTTTGGTGCTGATTAATCTAATCTAATAAGGGCTTGTTTTTCTTACAAAAATCATTATTGGACAAATCATTATTGGAAAATGCTGACTTTATGTTTTTTTTTTTATTGCATATTATATTTTTCATTTTATATTGTAATTTATTTATTTATTTTACATAAATAAGTACACCCCTTAAAGATCTTGCCTTTAACTTAATACTTTCTAAAGGATACTATACAATAATATATTGATCAAAATACATTAGTTCTAGTTTTGGCTTTGGTGCTGATTAATTTAATCTAATATGGGCTTGTTTTTCTTACAAAAATCATTATTGGAAAAATCATAATTGGAAAATGCTGACTTTATGTTTTTTATTTTATTGCATATTATATTTTTATTTATTTTATATTGTAATTTATTTATTTATTTATTTATTTATTTATTTATTTATTTATTTATTTTTACATAAATAAGTACACCCCTTAAAGATCTTGCCTTCAAATTGATACTTCCTTTAGGATACTACATATTAGTGGTGTAACGGATCACAAATCTCACGGTTTAGATCACAATAAGGTTTTTTTTAGTCAGGGATCGGACCATTTTTTGGATCAGCCAAAAAGGGGAGGAGACAAATGTAATTTACTTTCCATTTATTACAAAAACAGTACCGCAAGAAACTTTTGATTTAACATACAGAACTTAGAACCTGTTATGTTATTAAAAATAAAATGAGTCGGCGCCAATATCCTAGTGGTTAGTGTGTCGATATATCACCCAGGTGCTGGCGTCGCCCCGAGTTCGATTCCCGACTCGATGTCCTTTGCCGATCCTTCCCCTCTCTCTGATCTTCATACTTTCCTGTCTGTAAATCTCCACTGTCCTATCATTAAAGGTAAAAACCCCTAAAAAATAATTATAAAAATAAATTAAATAAATAAAATTTATAAAAAATAATCAGCTGAATAAAAATAAATTTTAAAATATTCAGTACAGTGAAAAATTCACTGCTACTACTGCTGTTGCTGAAAGTGCTAAATGTAGAAATCTAACATTATTATCTGTACAACCCATTAACATTTTATAATAAATTATGCAGTTTTTCACTCATAAAACTTCATGTTTCATTGCTAGATGATCATTTTTGATTAATTATTTAGAGGCCTATTTTTAATAGCTGGTTGTCGCCACCTATTGGATAAATAATGTAATTGCTACCTACAACTAACAACCTACAACCTTTAACTAAGGTATAAACTGTCATCCCTGTACGTCTGTGTTATTTGACTGTTTTCAACTTCATAAATAGCTAAAAAGACTAAAGACTTAATCTTTTAAGATTAATAAACATATGCAAATCACCATCATTTATAATTTATGTTCAGATCCCGATTTTTTTTAAATGATTAATCGTGCAGCTTACACTGAACACATTAATGCACACTAAACAATCAGTGACAGAAAACACCTTTAATAACCTAAGAAACCCACCTCATCACGAATAAGCCACCACATCTTAATCCATCATTATATTTTACAGGAAACCCTAAATGCTTTCATGTGATCTGAATGACGCGGGAGGCGATCTCTCTGTGATCGTTACAAATTTAGGATTAATCTACAAGTAAAACATTTTATTAATTCGCAGGTAACGTGTGTTCCGACACATGATCCGTTACACCTTACTATATAATAAGGTATATGTTCATATACATTAGATCAGTCCCAATTTTCTTATTATATATATATATATATATATATATATATATATATATATATATATATATATATATTTATTTATTTATTTATTTTATTATATTATAATTTTTTTATTTTATTTACAATGGGCACACCCCTTACAGATCTTGCCTTTACATTAAAGAGCCCATATTATACATGAAATAGGGTCATATCTTGGTTGTAAGGGTCTCCAACAACAGTCTAATATGCATGCAAGGTCAAAAAACACTTTCATGGTCTTATAATCTGCATTTATTTTTACCTAATTATCCCAGCGACTCCCGTATGAATCGTCCAGTGATTCATTTGTTCCCAAACCCCTCCTTAGCTCAAAGCTAATCTGCGCTGATTGGACCGATGACAGTCTGTTGCGATTGGTCGACTGCCTTCAGTCAGAGAGTGAAATGCCAAACAGCTAATCAGCAATATAAAAGTAATCACAGTTCATACAGCTCGATAGTGTAGGCGTGGAGTTTAGCTGCCAGTGGGTCAATGTAAATACAGTCGATGGACTTGAAAATTCAGACGACTAACTATTTTATTGAGCAAAAACTCCAAAAACAGTTGAGGAGATCTCCTAGCTTCTCACTCTATGATCCACTCGCCATACTCACTCTGCTCTTTTCACAGACACACACACACATATTGCTCACACACACACACACACACGCACTTAACCCTGCTCCGGACGACAACGTGCGCGCGCGCGCACACACACACACACACACAATTACACACACCTCCGGACGACAGCGCGCGCACACGCACACACAGACACACACACTACTCCTCGTTCACGGAGCTCCGTTAACAAAGCAGCACGCGTCGTGTTTTTAACGTGACTTTGCACGCGGTAAGAGAATATAGCCAGTTAACCTGATACAGTACACGCGGTTACAAGTAACAAATCACAACTAAATACATTTGCAAGCTCGAGTCAACGAGGCAACTTTAATCGCACGTACTTACATTTGAGAAATGGAGGAAGAAAAATCCATCCTGACGTCCATCAGTAAGTTACTCTTTACTGATCCTTCCTTTAACAAACGCTGATGAAGTATTCTTTGTAGCATGTAGTTTCCAGAAGTTTCCAGTAGTTTCCAACTGCTTGGCTATAATGCTGAGGTTTCATCTTTGGGTAGAGACTCAATATATCCATCTGCAGTGTGACTTCAATCGACCGGCATGTTTGTGTGTGTGTGTGTGTGTGTGTGTTTGTGTGTGTGTGTGTGTGTCTGGGTTTCTGCGTCAGAGGGCGGGGCCTCAGGTTTGAAATCTCCCGGGTTTGCGCGTGCACGTGAATAACTTGGTTTCGTTCGTACGTCATGGCAAAACACCTAATGAATCGGTATCAAGGCGACTCGTTTGAAGCACTATGAGTCGACTCTTTTATAGATGAATCAACAGTTTTAAACACTGTACACTAACAGATTTAAGCCTTAGCTGGATACTTCACTTCACTTAGAGCTGTTACACACTACATGGAGGGGAATTTTCAAAAACCCATAATATGGGCTCTTTAATACTCACTGTAGGATGCTATACAGTAAGATATTTGCAAATATACTTTAGATTATTCAGCAAAAAGGCCAAAACATGGGTTTGTTTTGCTTAGTACCTGATCTGACTCTGTGTTTGTGCGTGCGTGTGTGTGTGTGTGTACACGTGTGTTTTCTGTACAGGATGAACGAGATGAATCTCTCTCCCACTGAGAATAAGGTTTACTTTGGGCAGCTGCTGGGAATGTGTGACCAGATCAGTTTCCCTCTGGGTGAGTGCAGAGAAAACCAACAGATGGTGTTACAGATGCTCATCCGCACAACCAGGCGCTTAAAAAGTCTAGTTTAAAAAAGGGCATCCGCTGCGTAACATCCATATGCTGGATAAGTTGGCGGTTCATTCTGCTGTGGTGACCCCTGATGAATAAAGCGACTAAGCCGAAAAGAAAATGAATGAATGAATGAAATATGTGTGTGTGTTTATTCACAGGTCAGGCTGGTTTTCCGGTGTACAAATATGTGCCGTACGGGCCGGTAAACGAGGTGATCCCGTACTTGTCCCGCCGCGCGCAGGAAAACCGCGGATTCATGAAGGGCTCACAGAGAGAGCGAAGCCTGCTGTGGAAGGAGATCAAGCGCAGACTCTTCAGCGGACAGCTGCTATACACACCTGTGTACTGAAACACACACAAATGAGCATCAGACTGCGATACACACCTGTGTACTGAAACACACACACACACACAAATGGACATCAGGCTGCGCTACACAACCCTTTACTGAAAAACACACAAAAATGAGCATCAGACTGCTATACACACCTGTGTACTGAAACATACACACCCAAATGGACATCTGGCTGCGCTACACAACTCTTTACTGAAAAACACACAAAAATGAACACAGCTGTTTACTGAAAACACACACACAAATGAGCATCAGACTGCTATACACACCTGTGTACTGAAACATACACACCCAAATGGACATCTGGCTGCGCTACACAACCCTTTACTGAAAAACACACACACAAATGAACATCTTTACACAGCTGCTTACTGAAAACACACACAAATGGACATCAGACTGTGCTACACAACCCTTTGCTGAAAAACACACACACAAATGAACATCATTACACAGCTGTGTACTGAAAACACACACACAATGAGCATCAGACTGCAGAATGCTATACACACCTGTGTACTGAAACACACACACACACACAAATGGACATCAGACTGTGCTACACAACCCTTTAGCGAAAAACACACACACAAATGAATATCATTACACAGCTGTGTACTGAAAACACACACACAATGAGCATCAGACTGCTATACACACCTGTGTACTGAAACACACACAAATGGACATCAGGCTGCGCTACACAACCCTTTACTGAAAAACACACACACGAATGAACATCTTTCGACAGCTGTTTACTGAAAACACACACACAAATGAGCATCAGACTGCTTTATAGACCTGTGTGCTGAAAAGCACACACAAGTGAACATCAGTCAGCTTTACAGATCTGCATACTGAAACAGACACACATGTTGGTATTGGTGGTTTATGAGGACTCTCTATAGGCGTAATGTGTTTTACACTGTTAAAAATGCTGATTATATGGCCCTACTCCTAAACCCATCCCTTACAGCAGCGGTGTCAAACTCAATTCCTGGAGGGCCGAAGCCCCGCACAGTTTAGTTCCAACCCTGCTCCAACAAACTTACCTGTAGGTTTCAAACAGCTGTAACTGAACTAGAGTTAAAGACAACATGAAATCAAATTCGTAATGTGTTTTAGTTCTTGCTATGGTGTGACGAGGACAATTCAGCAGAAAGGCAAACGTAAATGTTTATTTCATTTAATGTAACCAATTATCTAATGAAAAAGGGCCGTTGAAACGTATTTGGTTTACGTACTTAATACCTTTTAAATGCTGAAAATTAAATTAAAAACAAAAAAATATTTGAAAAAAGCAATAAATAAATATTAATCCTTTCTTTTTATTTTACTTAATTATCTGATGAAAAGCAAAACATTTGAAATATATTTATAAATGTTTAGTCTTAGTTTACAGTGACCCATTATCAGAAGAAAACAAATGAAGAGTTCAGATGCAAAAACCTTTAAGTGCCGTCTGAATTTTTTTCCTAAAATGAGCATTTATGTGTAGGTTCAGTTATTTGACTTTTATGGCAAAGAATATGTTACTTTCATAGCCTTTAACATGAAATAACTTAATACAAATATAAGAAGCTGAGAAAAATGCTCATTGTAGAGGAAAATTCCAGAAGGCACTTCAAATATTTAAAGATATTTACATTTTTAGATTGTATATATTTCAATATATATATATATATATATATATATATATATATATATATATATATATATATATATATACATACACTTTTTCAGATCTTAAATTTCCATTCAGATCAAAGTGCCATTCGAGCCTGCTCTTCTCATGTAAATCCACCAGAGGCCGCTGTCAACTGACTGACTGACTGACCAATCGACTGACCCATTCTCCTCCTTCCGTAAACCCAACCAATAGTGTTTATTTATAAATATTTTTTACAAATTTTTAATCATAATAGTTTTAATAACTCATTTCTAATAACTGATTTATTTTGTCTTTGCTTTGATGACAGTAAATAATATTTGACTAGATATTTTCAAGACACTTATTTACAGCTTAAAGTGACATTTAAAGGCTTAACTAGGTTAATTAGGTTAACTAGGCAGGTTTGGGTAATTATGCAAGTTATTGTATAGCAATGGTTTGTTCTGTAGACTATCAAAAAATATATAGCTTAAAGGGGCTAATAATATTGTCCCAAATTTTTTTTTTTTAAATTAAAAACTGCTTTTATTCTAGCCGAAATAAAACAAATAAGACTTTCTCCAGAAGAAAAAATACTATCAGACATACTGTGAAAATTTCTTTGCTCTGTTAAACACCATTTGGTAAATATTTAAAAAAAAAAAATTCAAAAGTGGGCTAATAAGTCTGACTTTAACTGTGTATATAAATATATTGTATAGCCTATTATGATTAAATGCAGACATACAAAAATATATATAAATATTAATAATATGATATTTATTAATATCATGCATACTAATATCTCATGAATTAAACATTTTAAATGCATATAGTCGTTTTTTTTTATTGAAGGGAAATCGAATGTTGTTCAATAGTGGATACAGTAACAGAAGATGACTTTAGATGACGCATGTTAAGTTATGAACAGATTACTCACGTCAAATCCAGAGAAAGTCTGAGAAAGCGGGAAATAAGGAGAGTTTTGCTTTCATGTTGTCTTTAAATCCGCTCTAAATCATTCCACTGTAACTCCGACTCACTGGGCCGTTTCTTATCTTTGTATTATTATATGACTATATTATAGTACTATGCAACTCGTACTGCGTTTACAGTATTCAGATTATTGAATACTGTCTCAGACACACAAGTGCTGCGGTGTGCAAAATTACTAATCAGTTTCCATTCTTAATCACCAAAAATATCTGTATTCATTTCTGAGAGAACAATGCAGAAAGGTAACTGGTTAATTACAGAAAACTACTGGTTAAAGCATCACTGCATGGCACTTTTGCATTTTGTTTATATTTCTATATACACACACCTATACAGTATATATATGATATAGTTAATCTAGTCTAAACTGATTCTTTCTGACGCACATGGGTATTTGTCATACTGTCAACAAGAAGTTATTTTTGTACACATTAATAGTTGATAGTATGACCCTATAGTTGTTTATTTATCTATTAACAGAGGAGTCGAGCACATTTTTGCTATTGAATATTCTGTGTTACTCTCCCTATTGTAAATTCATTTTCATTTGTTTGGTTTTGCCCCTTAAAGAAAGTGCTTGAATGCCCGTTTGGGTTTGAAAATAAGCGTGGATGAAGTGTGCATGTGAATCTTTCAGTTGTTTGAGTTAGTTTCTGCTTTTATTATGTTAATATTGAAATAATGACAGCGCACAGTTCTCTCGCTACGGTGATTTGTAGACACTTTTGCACTAGTTTTGTTTCTAACTTAATAAGTGAATATATAGATCACTGTATATAGACGTCTTTAATAATAAAAATTACGTTTCTTACAAAAATGTGGGACTGTTTATTGAGTTTTTTAGTGATGTATAGGACTGTCACAATGAACAATATATTGACTCGTATGTATGTAATGTATATTGCTCGTACATAAAAACCAATGTTAGCAACCTTTTAGCTAATTGCGCAGCTAATTCATTCAATTGGAGGTGTCAGTATGGTTAAAAAGAGCACTATACCCTAAAATAATAAAGTAGTTTTAATAATGTATTTAGTTTAAAATGTTAAATGGGGTTCACAGTATATTTTTAAGGCTTGGTTGTGTTTATAAGATGCAAAGCAATGTGTGCTCACGCTGCACTTGTAGAAAATCGAATATCTTACTTTGATTATATACAGCTACTTCACATACAAACGACTGTCATATTTCCTAGTTCCTCAAGAGGCTCTGATTGGTCAGCTAACATAATGTCCTGTGATTCCTGGAACAGCTTCATGTCACCACGTCACGCCCCTATGCGCTTTTAAGCAGTAGCTGTTAGCCCTATCAGTTTGTGCCTGAATTAGAAAATAAAGAGGACACGGCTGGACTTCACGCCTGCTCTCTAAAATAAAATCTGACAAGTTTCATATAATTCGGAATAAGCATGTGTAAGTAATATGAAACATTTTTATATCTTGTGTGAGTTTGTTATATGAGATGTAAACGCAAGAAAAGCGTCCACATAGAGAGACACTGTGTCACCGACTCGGTCCCAGTCATTCCCCTCGCTGGCCAGCAGAGGTCACCATCCCCGGACTATTAACCATTACATCATCCACTTACACTGATAGCCTGCACACCTGAAGTGCATCCACCTGATCATCCACGCTCACGCTTATAAGCAGCACACACACACTCAGTCATGGCGACGTCTTGTTCTGCCCCGGCTAACACTACTGAGCGTTTCTCTACTCTGCCTGCTTTCCCGTTGCTTACCTTGCCTTGTTCCTCGACCTCGTCCTGCCAGCCGCCTGCCTTGTACCTCTGCCTGATTATCAACTTTGATCCAAGCCGCTCTAGCCTGAACACCGACCTTGATATTCGCCGCCTGCCTCAGACCCATGCCTGAACACTCATACTGCGATTACCTGCCTTCAACCCTGCTACGTAACACTATTGTGTTTGATGTGAGTTTGCACACGCATTACATCTGTGTGCTTGTCTTTATTAAACTGTGTTTAATAAATATACTGCAAATGGATCCCTCTGTGTCAGCCCCGTTGTTACACACTGCAGCACTGCTAAAGGTTGTGGGTGTTTACAGCGGTTTGACTGATAAATATTTAGATTTGTAGCTAAATTTTAGCGGTGCCAAACAGCATTTCCTGCTGTTTACATCCTTGTTCACGTCCTCGCTACAACATAAAAATACTTACAGGTTGTGGCTCACAATCCACAGCTTCGTCTGTTATGGTTGGAGGAGTTTTTAGCTGAATCCAGCACTGAACTGGGGGAGATTCTGGAAGCTTTCCTTTGTCTAATGTTAGCTATATATTTTTATAATTCTCTGGAACATAATTAAAGTTAAACCGTAAGCACTTCTCTTTGTATTGTGTCCTTTGGAAGACCAAATACAGAAACAGAACGAGCTCTGTGAAAATAGCAGCGTTTGGACGACATTTTAGCATTACCTGCCAACACTCCCCTTTTTCCTGGGAGTCTCCCGTATTGTTCTGTCTCCCAAAAATCTCCTGGAATTCCACCCCCCAACCCCCTGAACTCTACGGGCAACCATCTTCCTACCCGTTCATCAGTTCACTTCACTTCATGCCTCCACCCCTTTAAAAATGTTGCTTTTTAACAACATAACATAACATTTAATATTATTGACATAACATTTATTATTATTGATGTGTTTAGGATACAGTATGTTTTCATATTCTGATTAAAATGCCTGATTCAATTGTTAAAATTACTATAATTACATTAAACATGAATAATAATTAATAATAATTTAATTAATAATAATTAAATACATTTTTTATATAACAGTTTTCTGGGCACTCAAAGCGCTTTACACATAAGGGAGAATCTCCTTATCCACCACCAATGTGCAGCATTCACCTGGATGACGCGACGGCAGCCATTTTGCGCCAGACCACACACCAGCTGATTGGTGTAGAGGAGACAGAGTGATGAAACCAATTATGATATGGGGATGGTTAGGAGGCCATGATGGACAGAGGACAAATTTGGCCAGGATGTCAAGGTTAAACCCCTATTCTTCTTCGAAGGATATCCTAGGATTTTTAATGACCCCAGAGAGTCAGGACCTCGGTTCAACATCTCATCCGAAAGACGGCACTCACTGAGCAGTATAGAATCCCCTTCACTATACTGGGGCATTATTGGGTGCCCCCTGCTGGCCTCACTAACACCACTTCCGACAGCAATTTGCATACTTGCATTATGATGCTATTATATTGTCATTCTTTCATTATACTGCCTTAATGAGTCACATAAAATGATCTTAAGATTAAGATTGGTTTAAAGTTTCTGTTCATCACGGATTGTAAAGTTTACAGTAAAGCTTATTACAATTTTCACAAATATACTGTATTTATAAGGTCTCTGTAAACAGCATGCACATTGATAAACCATAACACATCATAATCAGGATGGTAACTTAATCGGAAGCCTTTTGTCTGAAATAGTAA